AAAAAAAAAAAAAAAAAAAAGCAAAAACTGGACAAAATATAAAAAGAAGCAGTTTTCAGGTATTAGACAAGGCACAGCCCAGGGGTTCTTATCCTGAAGAGAAGAAAAGTACCAGCAGTAAGCTCCACATCCACCCAGCTTTCTGCTTAGGGTCCCTTTCTAAATGGAGATAAGGAGTGATATCACGGGGTAATGTGAATGCTGGGCTTTTCTATGTCTTCTCAAAGTGCAGCTTTTGTTTTCTTTTAATTACCTTCCTCTTTCCAGGTACTATGTATTAACAAACTGGTAGGTATAACCTGTCTATATTCTTTCCATACTTACATACACCTGAGGAACTATAACAAACTGGTCAACATAAGGAATTATGTCTACTGTACTGATAACATACATGCAGTGCATGTGTGGTCTATGAAAACCAGGTCAATTTAAGGAGGTGGTCAACGGAGGGAAGTGGTCCACTATGGGGGTTCTACTGTATTCGAAATCAGGGAAATGAAGAGTATTTGCCTTACAAAAGTGCAATACTCTGCCTACTCATTATTTGCATCCTTCTTTCTTATTTAACATTACCTAACATGAAAATTGCTCCAAGTCAACTAGTCTAGCAGTTCTAAATCTTTCTTTATAATAGTTGTATTATATTCCACAGTGCTGATGTACCTAAATTTACTTTAGTGCCCCCCATGAGTATTTACTTGTCTCTTACTTTTTTTCCTTTTGCTAATACTTCAGACAATGCTGCAATGGTTATTTCTAATACACATTCTTAAGTTTTAGTGCTTATATTTCCTGTAGGATTAAAGGGAAGGTGTATTTTTAATTATGTAGATACTGCCCAACAGCTTTTTAAAACATTGTAATAGCTGGCATATGAAAATCATTCAATAAATCTTAACTACTACTATGATTTTTTTTTTTTTTGCAGTTTTTGGCCGGGGCCAGGTTTGAACCTGCCACTTCTGGTATATGGGGCTGGCACCCTACTCCACTGAGCCACAGGTGCTGCCCAACTATTATTTTTTTTATCAGCAGAAAGAGTCCCTCTCTGTTGTCCAGGCTAGAGTGTAGTGGCATCATCATGGCTCAGAGCAATCTCAAACTCTTGGCTTAAGCAATCCTCTTGCTGCAGCCTCCTGAGTAGCTGGGACTATAGGTGTGTACCACCAAGCTTAATTATTGTTTTTAAAGTGGTAATTTTCTAGTTTGTATTCACTGTTACCTTCAATGAAATATGGAAAACTGATACAGTTAGTGGGCATCTTTGTTTAGTCTTTTCATTTAATTGAAAAGGCCTTATTAATAAATTTTGCCATTTCAAATGATATTGCTATTGAGTTTTGGCAACTAATCCTTATGATATTTGTTTCTTTTCTTTTCTATCAGAAATTTAATATAGCACAGCTGCTGAATTACACCAAAAGATGTTTCAACAATCTATTGATATAATGTATTTTCCCCATTTATTCTGTCCAACGTGAGGAATTATGCAGATACATATTTATAATATAAGGTTACCCTCACACTCTCAGAATAAGTCTTACTTGTTGTTTCATATATTGCTGGACACAGTTTGCTAATATTCATGTCTGTATTCATTAATGAGAATTGTCAATAACTTTTTATATTATCTTTTGCTATTAAAGTTATGCCAGATTCATAACATGAGTCATCGAACTTTCCATCCTTTTTATGGTCTTGAATAGCTCAAATTCAAGATGACTGGAGTCATGTGTTCTTTAAAGGTCACATAAAAATCAACTATGAAAACCTCTGGACCTGGTGCCTTTTTTACAAAAGTTCTTTGGGCACCTTTCTAAAGATTGACTGATTACAGTTTTTCCACCTCTTCTGCATCTAAATTACATTTAAATTGTTTCCTTTCTCAATGCCTTTCCTCATTTTCCGTGAGAAAAGGAAATAGCACAGCCACCACAGATGAATTCCTATTTGGTTTTTTCTTCAGTAGCATATTCTCTTTCCAAATCAACCTAAACTGTACTGCAGAAAAAATTAAACATACACACACACACACACACACACGTACAAAGCTCTGGACACACCATCCTACTTCCCACAGAATACAATCCAACTGCCTTATCTCGGCACTAGTGCCCTTTATAATTTGGCTTCAAACTTCGTCTCTATTCATATCTTCCACTATTTCCTCTCTTAGTCTTCTGCTCTAGTTAGGTTAGACTATTTGATATCTTCCTCAACTCCTTTCTCTTTCTTCCACCATATCGATCATCTTGCCGCTACCTTCTCCATCAATTTCCTAATCTCCTTCATGCTCTTATACCCATTCATCAAAGATCACAAAAACTCCTTCAGAATACCCACCTGGATTCCTCCCAGACAACAGTATCTGCTCCTCTGTATAAACAACCACAAGTAGTGTTTGTACCTGGCTTCAAACTGCTCCTCAAGTTACTGGCAGTAGGAATTTTTCAGCTCCATTGTAATCTTAATGGGACTATTAAACTTATGTGGTCCTTTGTTGATGGAAATGTCTTTATGTAGTGGGTGACTGTATTATCAAAAGATTTTAGATACAAACTCAAATAAAACCCCTAACAATTCACTGACTCACAGAAACACTCAAGGTAGTGTTGTAGCACAAGTATCATGCTCTTTTAACACTTGATTACCCAAAACTCTGAGGGCTGCAAAACTTAGGAACCTCACTGTTTCCCAGCAGAAAATAACTCTAAAATTGGGTAAATCCTAACAAGGCTCTTCTATGCATAACTGTCCCTATGTACTGTTAGGAGGTACCATCCCAGGTCTCCAGCTATGTGAACCACCATGAGGACACATGTGCCTGTGGGAACTGTCTGTACCATGCTCACCACAGTGACCTGGTAGCATCAATCTTACTGCCGAGCTGCTCAGAAAGACTTAGCAAGCTCTGGGCCAGCAAGGCAAAGAGTGGCATGGAACCTTAACAAACTGGCACTGCATGCTGTTTATATGGCCTTCGCCAAAGTCATAATGTCACATGCACCATGTCAGAGATGCAGGCTGCCTGAGATCTTGGGATAAAGCCCTTATATAATAGGCAAAAAATCAATTTAAGGGAGAGGGAGGCTTTACTAGATTAGTTTCATAACACAGCTAACAACTTTCAGTTGGACATGTAGGTTGTTCTATTTTCTTTTTTTTTTTTTTGAGACGGAGCCTCAAGCTATCCCCCTGGGTAGAGTGCCATGGCATCATACTCACAGCAATCTCCAACTCCTGGGCTCAAGTGAGTCTCCTGCCTCAGCCTCCCAAGTAGCTGGGACTACAGGCGCCCGCCACAACGCCTGTCCATTTTTTGGTTGCAGCCATCATTGTTGTTTGGCGGGCCCGGCCTGGGGATTCGAACCCGCCACCTTAGGTGTATGTGGCTGGCACCCTAGCCACTTGAGCCACAGGCGCCGAGCCAGTTATTCTATTTTCAAACAACATAGAAAGTCCTACTTTGAGTCAACCAATAAGTATTCTAAATTCCAACCTAAAAATATACTATATGATATGCTACTAACAGAACAAGAACCCAAAACACAAAATTTTGTCCCAAATGAATTTTATGTAAAATATGGGGACTTTTTAAACAAATGAAATAGCTATCAAAAAGGTTTTAAGGATTTTCTTTACCTTGTGTTTCTGAATTTGAATAAAATCTAAACCATGTGACTTAATTTACCTTTTTTTTTTTGAGACAGAGTCTCACTATGTTGCCCTCAGTAGAGTGCTGTGGTATAACAGCTCACAGCAACCTCAAGGTCTTGGGCTTAAGTGATTCTCTTGCTTCAGCCTCCCAAGTAGCTGGGACTACAGGCGCCCACCACAACATCTGGCTATTTTTTTTGTTATTGTTGTTGCAGTTGTCATTGTTGTTTAGCTGGCCTGGGTCAGGTTCGAACCTGCCAGCCTGGGTGTATGTGGTCAGCGCCCTACCTACTGAGCTAGGGGCACCAACGATTTATCTTTCTTATTTGTTCTAAAGTCCACAAAATTCTAACTTAAGTAAAACTTTAACCTGAAGAAACTCACAGGAAAACACTATTTACTCTGACAACTTTGCCAATTTTTAAAATACACTAGTGAAACATACTTGAGCTTTAAACACAATCTCTAGCTATTTCTAACTTTATGTTGCTGATTCTGATAAGATGCTCTTTTAAAATTCTCCTCTCCAGAATTTAAAAATTCCTAAGACAAATGTTAGGCAATAATCATCTGCATTTTACAAAAGGTTAACAATACAAATAATGCTAGATATTAACCTATTAGAAAAGACTCAAAAACTAAATATAGGATTTCTCCATTATAAAATCCTTATATTTTGAAGTTTCACATAGGGATTCTGCCTTGGGTCTTAAGGAACCTATAACCTTTTGGGTCTTTTAACTTTTTTTTAAAGCAAACCACTTTATCAGAATGATTTGTTCACTATTGCAAGTCAAATAAGATATAGATGTGTAAAAAAAAAAAAAGGTTAATAATTTTCCTTCTTCCCTACCTTGAAGTAATGTTGAGAGTTTGATAGGTACAGTACTTTTCCATGCCTGTTCATATATACACACCTCTAGAAATATAACCAGGTGTTTTCTCACTTAAAAAAAAATGAAATACTATAAATACAAAATCTGACAATTAAGTTCATGAACTCGTCCTTTAAAAAGTGCTACATCATCTCACTGCTGAATATCACTACAGTCACCTTCAAAGTACTGCCCGTGGAAAGCTATGCACCAGTGCCAGTGCCTAGTCTACCCTTCAAAGCAATTGTAGACTCTTTTTTCCTGGAATGACCATAAGAGCTGCTTTTGTGCAAGGAATGAATTGGGATACACCATGAAACCCCACAGGAAAAATCAGAAGCCTAAAGCTGACAGCAAAAGGATACAACAAATAAGCTATAGATTGATACTGTTTACTCTCAACTCTGAGACATGAACAATTTTTTTTTACATTTTTTTAAATTCTAGAAATAACTTCCAGATCTCAGGCTGTATAAAGACATTTTATCCCCTGCCACTGGTTTCAATGAAGTCCAACTCAACCCTTACTCAGACACCGGAAGAGTGGGATAACTTCTAGGGGCACAGCCAAGAATTCACTTTGCAGCTTGTCCTCCCTGAGGTTTCCAGAGAGCCTTTCACTTACTGGACAGGCTCTTTGGGCTGCCACGTTGAAGATGTGTGAGGTGCACCTCTGACCAACAGACCCACCTGTGTAGGAAGTGCAGCTTATGCATGGCAGCCAGCCCCGCGGCGATCTCACACGCCATCCTCTGCAGCAGCATGGTCTGCGCGTCCCCCCGCATGTGCCCCTGCTCCGTGCGCAGATATGCTTTCAGATCACCCTGCAAAGATCAGCCCACTTGAGTTTCAAAAAGAACTGCAGAAACAAACTGAGTGTTTAAACATGTGGCCTTAGGTGACTTATTAAGACCACTTATTAGAAATTACTTAATAAAGAACCTCAGAGTGTACAAGTTTCAAATTATAAAAAGGAATTCCAACATGATGTTTCAAAAGTAAGGAACACTATTATGCTTTCAGGGCCACTCTAACTAGATTATGTTAGTTTATTTTTCTTATACAAACACATGTAAAACAAAACAGTAAAAACAAGAGACAGTTTTAAAATGATGTACAATTTAAGAACAGTGCAGTAGAGATTCTCAGGCAACTAAGATGATGCGAAGAGTGAAACAAAGGTGCTGCTCATGTTGCCTACTGGAAGGATTCTAGGAGACACCTGGGCAGTAATACTTCGCCTTCATTACAAAGGTTTCGTGGCTATCACTAATACTCTGATTTGAGCAAAGGACGGGGAAAGAAGGAAAGAAAAATGGGACGGAGAAAGTCCGGCCAGTTCCAGTAACAACTGCTTCAGGGCTCTGCCAGCTTCCCTAGGGCCCTGTGCCGCCCAAATGAGAAAGAGCATTCCAGTCACTCCAGAAAAACTAACCAAGTTGATGAGGCTGTTCTTCAAAAGAGACAAGCCTCAGAGGGAAAATAAACAAAGTCACAGTCAGGAATCCAGCACACAGACATGTGAGTGCTGGGATCCGAGGTCCTCCTGTAAGTCTCCCCTCTATCACCCTGTCTTTACCTCATCTAAATGTGGACTGTATGGGTTTTTTTTTTGGCGGGGGGGTAGGGGAGTACAGTATATTTGTTTTGAGGAAATAAAATTTTCCATATTCTTCTTACCCCATGATTAAATATTTGTTGATATGATTTAATTCCAAATTAAGGCTTTCCACAATCAGTTAAAAAGCTGTAGAAAATAAGCCAATAGCTTTCAGTTTTCTTTAAATCTTGGTCAAGAAAAGACTCCTAAGGAAAGAAAGATTCCTTGACCAACTAAAGGATACATTTATTATAACTCGCTGAAGACAGCAAATTTATCAAATTCTTCCCAGAATAAAACTTTAAAACATAATTTTTTTTATAAACACGTCCACATTTAATACTATTAGTTAAGTACTTACAGGTCTACGACAAGAATCTAAATGTTTCTATTCCCAGTTTCAATGATCCCTACGTGAATGATAATGTTGATAATAATATTCACTACATTCTGAGCTCTTGAGCACTGGGCTAAGCATTTACACTTGTCAATGCAAACACTTCTCACAATTTGAGATGTTTTCCAGATACGGAACTGAGGCTTAGGGAACTTAAGAGATTTGGCCAAGGCCACAGAACTAATAAAGGACAGGGTTGTGCTTCTACTTTTTAGTTTACAAACTGGTCAAGAGAGTTCTGCTTAGCAAGTGAATGAAATTAGCATGCAGATGAAATCAATTTGTTTTATAAGCCTGAACGTAAAATAACATAAGGTCAATGCCATCAATTTGCAGAATTCTTCTAAGTGTCATGAGACTGCTATGCCAGGGACACAGTGGCCTCCCTTTGGTGCAGCGCTTGCCATCACTGTCCTTCAAAGGTTTCCTTCCAAACATGGCATTCTCCTCCTTTGTTACCACTAGAATTATAAGCTACTCCAGAGGAGAAATAGACATTCTCCTCCTTTTTTTTATTTTTTTTGAGACAGAGCCTCAAGCTGTCGCCCCGGGTAGAGTGCCATGGCATCACAGCTCACAGCAACCTCCAACTCCTGGGCTCAAGCAAGTCTCCTGCCTCCACCTCCCAAGTAGCTGTTACTACAGGCGCCAGCCACAATGCCCAGCTATTTTTTGGTTGCAGCTGTCATTGTTTGGTGGCGGGCCAGGCTGGATTCGAACCCACCAGCTCAGGTGTATGTGGCTGGTGCCTTAGCTGCTTGAGTCACAGGTGCTGAGCCCTCCTCCCTTTCTAAAACTATATAATCATTGGTTCAGGCTGGGCTTTACCCAGCATGGGAGCTGCGGGAATGATGAATGAGTTAGATGACAGTTAAATTTACTACAAAAAATTCCAGCAAAAAACACTAGGGATATATAAGCTAATGGGATTTTTATTCATAAGGTAGCCCATATAGAAACTAAACATGAAAATAGCTAAAGTATCACCAGCTAACCCCCTCTGTTGCAACATACACCTAAGGGAAAAAAAAAATCACTCTGACACAAAAGCATAATTATGCTGTGCTGTATCTGGCTAATTCTCAAAAGTGACTCTGGCCATGGAGGCAGAGGGGTAGCACAGTGGGTGCAGTTATTTTTCAAGGCTATCTGAAATGTATCCATCACCACTAACTGTTCTTCAAATGGCTTCTCTCTGCAACAGCCCCCTCCCCATATTTCACTATGAGAAAGAACAGAATAATGAGAAGAGTTGCCTACTTCCATAAACATTTTGTTTAAAGAAAAGCGGGTAGGGGGAGAAAAGGATTTTACTTAAGAATTGATACTGACAGCGCAATCCCGGCAAAATTATCTTTAGCCAGGAATAAGGAGTCAACATCAAAGATTAGTGAGGAGCCTGATCACTGTTTCTCACAGATGAGACTTGTGATGGTCTATGTAGGACCCAGTTAGTTCTATGTTCTAGAGTGATCCTTAGAGCTCTCGTGGTACCACAGTTTGAAAGAAAAAGATCAGCACAAAATCTTTAATCACAGTGAAGGTTTTTATATTAAGCAAGTACAAAAATTGATTCATCCTATCAAAAACAGACAAATCTATATTTAGATATCTGGTTTATTTTATTAATATTTGTATCTTAATGGTGCTTAATAACAAGTAGAATGGAATATACATAGATTATTACTTATGTCTGTTATATAAAGAAAAACACAATTTACTAAGAACAGTAATGTATTCTGAATTAAAATAAGCTTTCTTTTATCCACGTTTTAAAAATTTCTCTGCTTTTCCAAAACCCCACAAAAAAAAAACCTCTAAAAGAAAAATTCTGACACTAGATGGCAGCAAACTGCTATACTAAGAACTCCCACAACAGAACAAGCAACTCTCAATGACTTCTTGCAACTAGTCAGACCTGTAAATGGGTTACTCACAAGTGCTCTCTCTCAATTCTAACATAAATGGCCAGAAGGTCTTTATCCATTCTTTTGCAAGACCCTGAGAGCAAGGATTTAATTTCATCATAATGTAAAAAGTCAACAATAGCTTTATAACTAAAAACTCATAGTCTTTTATGATTAAAGGGATGATTCTAGGAAACATGATTTTTAACAAAAATTAAAGCTGTTTTACTAAAAATGACAGTGCCACACACCTCCTTTTTGCTGAGGAACATGCCATGCCCCTCTAACACTCTCCTCCCTGCCCCCTGGCCTGGTCTGTGTTTACTTCTTCTTGAGTTCCCACCACTTGAGCTCCACCTCCTCTTTGGTTACCTGGACTCTTCAACCATGTGCCTTTCGAAACTCAATCTCCTCATGAGTTCATCTCTTCTCTCTGGTCTAACACACCTCCCAGGTAAATCCAGTGAGTCTACCTCCTGGCCTTCCCCTACCTCCCACCCCAGGACCCCTCAGAAATGCTTTAAGCTTTCACCTACCACTTGGGTGTCAGCTGCTCCCACCAGGCCCACCTACCCATGACCACATACCTCCCCGCAAAGCACAGCAGGTGGCACCTCACCAGCCTCACAAAGAAACAGGCCTACTCTTTTCTTCTTTAAACACTTCCTTCTTCACCTGGCTTCAGGACACCACAACTCCTATACTTCCTCCAGTCTCACTGGTCATTCTTTCCTCAGCTTCCTCATAAGATCTTCCTTCTCTCACTGATCTGTCCCTCCAGGCAGGCCCCAGAGCTCCCTCCTCAGTCCTAAGGACTGTGGGCACTCACTGCCCAGGTGGTTTTATCCACTCATGGCTTTAAAAACCACATCTCATAGATATCTCTCTGGCCTAGACCCCTCATCTCCTGACTTGACAATGTGCCCTGTATATCTAACGGGTGTCTAGCACAAAACTCTGCCAATCTGGCCCATTTCAGTAAAAGGTATCATCATTTTCCCAGTGGATCCAGACCAAAAACAAAGGAATCATTAGAGAGTTCTCTGTCCATATCCAACCTACCCCCAAGCCCTGGGTCTATGTTCAAACCTCCTCCCACCACTATCACTGCTACCATGCTAGTCAGAGACAAAACTCCACCCTGTGGGGATCTACACCAGCCCTTGCCTGGTCTCCCTGCTCCCACCTGAGCAGCTAAAGCCAGTCTTTTAAAACATAAATCAAATCATGAGAGCCTTTGGTTCCCAACTCACATTTTGTTTACTCGTCTGCCTCTACCGCTAGAAAGTATGTCAGACATGGCTGGGACTCTAATTCTCTATCAAGCCCATAAATAGTGCTGGGCACCAGCATGTGTGTAACTAATATTTGCTTCAGGTGTGGGAGAAGAAAAAACTTGTGGAGAAATTCTAAATGATGTCCCACAGATTAAAGTTGAGACAACCACTTTCCCAAGATAGTCCATTTTTATCATTTCAATTTAATAATCTAATAATTATCAACTTTGAAGTAAATCTGTGATGTCATCCTTTTATTAGGCTTAAATTAATTTCATTATTTCATTACTATGTATATTTAAAACCAAAGACAGTTAACTTGGGAAAATAATATTTTATTTTTTAAGATTCTGCTTGAAAGCTTATCTTTGTTTAGTAAATGCAATAGATTTTGCTTCAACAACAGGGAGTTATTCTAAAAAAACATTCAAAGTACAGTCGTGCATTGCTTAACAACAGTGATACCTTCTGAGAAATCATCATCATTGCATTGTATGGAGATCTGGAATGTATTTACATAAACTTAGATGGCCTGGCCTACTGTATGCCCCAGCTACATGATAAAGCCCACGGCTCCAGGCTACAAACCTATACAGCAAGTTGCTCTCCTGAATACTATGAGCACTCATGACACAATGTAAGTATCTATGTAGCTAAGTGTATCTAAACATAGAAAAGGGACAGCAAAAATACAGCATAAAAGATAAAAAACCCTATCTAGGGCACATGGCATGAATTGAAGCACGGGAAGTATTCTGGGTGAGTTACTGAGTGAGTGAAAGAATGTGAACCTAGAACATCACTGAACACTACTACAGACTATGATCATTATAAACACTATATGTTTAAGCTACACTAAATTTCTAAAAACTATTTTTCTTTATTTTTGTTTATTTTTTGAGATGGAGTTGAAAAAGAGTGGTGTGATGTGGCGTCTCAGCTCACAGCAACTTCAAACCCTTTGGACTCAAGCAATTCTCTTGCCTCAGCCTCCCAAGTAGCTGGGACTACAGGCGTCCACCACAATGCCTAGCTATTTTTGTTGCAGTTGTCATTACTGTTTAGCTGGCACTGACCAGGTTCAAACTCACCACCCTTGGTGTATGTGGCTGGTGCTGTAACCACTGTGCTATGGGTGCTGAGCCGTATTTTTCTTTAATAACAAATTAACCTTACCTTACTATAATTATTTTACTTTATTGTAGAAGCAACCTAAGAGCCCATCAACCCATGAATGGATCAACAAACTGTGGTATATTATACCATAGAATATCATGCAGTCATTAAAAAGATGGAGACTTGGCTCGGCGCCTGTGGCTCAAGTGGCTAAGGCGCCAGTCACATACACCTAAGGTGGTGGGTTCGAATCTAGCCCAGCCCGCCAAACAACAGAAGATAGAAGCAACCAAACCAGGCGTGGTGGCGGTCGCCTGTGGTCCCAGCTACTTGGGAGGCAGAGGCAGGAGACTCGTTTGAGCCCAGGAGCTGGAGGTTGCTGTGAGCCGTGATGCCACGGCACTCTGCCCAGGGGTACAGCTTGAGGCTCTGTCTCAAAAAAAAAAGATGGAGACTTTACATTTACCTGGATGGAGTTGAAACGGATTCTTCTTAGTAAAGTATCACAAAAATGGAAAGATAAATACCCAAAGTACTCCATACTAATATGAAATCAATATATAAACAATTACATGTTCCTAAGAACAATTAAACCCTATTATAGTCCAGTTGGGGGGTGGGTAAAGGGAAGCGGAAGCGGGGAGGATGTATGGCAAAAGGAGGGAGGGCAGGAGGCGGGATCTCACCTAAAGTGCACATTGTGAACTAATTTGAACAGCCTCATATACTTTACCCAAAAGCCCCATAAAAATGCTGAATGGAACACCATCAGAATATACATTTTTTCCTGCCAATATCTATAGACACAAAAATACTCACCCTACAGTGAAGACAAATATAGCCTGGAAAAGAGCTACAAGTGACCCAAAGCCAACATGTGAGATGAATGAGAACTATTTTGTTGTTCTACGCAGAGATTTGGGGATTGCTATGACATAATCCAATGAAAGCTAATGTATCAAGTTTATGAATTAATTTTTATTTTTTATTAATAATCTCTACCAATAACAGAAACATTCAAATCACATTTAGGCACTAAAACAAAAATTCACAATATTTACTGCTATTTTAACAGCTGAAAATATAATCTAAATTAATTGGAGATTTATTTGGGGGGGGTACTCCCACTTTTCTGTGCATAGCCAGGGAAGATTTTATATTCTAAAAACTGAGACAATACAAAGAAATCCTTAAACCTAGTTAATTAAATTAACATCTCACTCTTTTTGGAAAATACAATTATATGTTTAAAATGGGCTTTAAAAAAAAGGATGAAATATTTTCCACAGGGGAAACGAGATTTACAGAAAATTTTCACACAGAAATTACTATTGAAATTATTCATAAAACTATGCAAAGGACAACCTTTCTGTCTCAATGAGTAATAGTATCACGTCAAGAAATAAAGCCATTTATTTTAAGAAAAATCGAATTCTTTAGAAATATAAATACACTTACTATTTTCAAAAATTGACAAACCATGAGTAGTCTAGTAAAGAGGTTCTTGGGCTCTCTCACTGGGGCAAAGTGTTTCAAAATGCCTAGGTGAAGCTAAGATCACAAACTCTCAGAATGGGCACACCTAGACCAAGCTCTTGCTTTGCCATATACTTACTAGACATTTTCTTAATATTCCTAAACTTTATTGTTTTTTCCTAAGCTTTATATTAATCATATGTGAAGTGTGGACAAATATTAGTACCTGGCTCAGGGGTTTGTTACAATTAAATGTTACAGTGTAATGCTAGTAAATAGCTTACTTAGCACAGGAACGGAAGCATAATACGCAGTGAACCTCTCCCTACCAATTAATACTATCACAAAAGATGATAAATTCATACAACCTCAGCTGGGGGGACAGACATGAAAGAAGTCCCTCATCTAGCATTTCTGTCTGTCAAAAACACTTGGGTACAACGTTTCAAATGCTTGAACCAAATTTCTACTAAAAACTTACCAAGTCACAGAACTCAAACACCAGAAGATAAGGAATTGCTTCTACACACTGTCCAACACACTGAAGAATATTTGGATGCTGAAGAATACTGGTAAAAATAAAAGTCATGGTGTTGTTCATCAGGAAGCATGACAGTAAAATTGTCCAAACAATAATCCAAATTTTAACATACATAATGATTTAACTATATGACAAAGAGAAAAGACCACATGAAAGATGATACTTAATATCTATTAAACTATGTTATCTAATGATTGAATAATTCAAAGCCAATTGAGGGATCATTTTCACAAATTAAAAAAAAAATCCTAACTTAAAAATGTTTACCTTTAGTTAATTTAAATTTAGAGAATATATTTTAAGGCACCATTTTAAAAAAGGCAAACTACCCCAGAAGATACCAAAATCCAAGCCAAAGATGCCCAAATCCCTGATATAAAATGGGGTCATATTTGCATATAACCTAAACACATCCTTTCATATATTAATACTTTAAATCATTCTAGATTACTTCTAATACCTAATACAATGTAAATGCTATGCAAATAAAGTATTACTTGTATTATTTTTTTATTGTTGTATTGTTACTTCCCCCCCAAAATATTTTCAATCTACCGTTTGTTAAATCCATGGATATAGAGGGCCAGGTGGGTATACAAATTCAGTAAGCATTTCAAATCAAATATTAAGGAACTCTATTTCTCCATTAGGCTGTCTAGTTTATACACAGTATGTTCATAAATTTCCACAGTGTATGCAAACTCTTTTAGAAGACAGCCAAAGTAGTTTTTTAAAATACTTTTTGTTTTGGGTGGTGCCTGTGGCTCAAAGGAATAGGGTGCTGGTCCCATATGCTGGAGGTGGCAGGTTCAAGCCCAGCCCCGGCCAAAAAAAAAAAAAAAAGGGAGGCACCTATAACTCAAAGGAGTAGGGTGCCGGCCCCATATGCCAGAGGTGGCGAGTTCAAACCCAACCCCGGCCAAAAACTGCAAAAAAATACCTTTTTATTTTGAACAATTTTGAATTTATAGTTAGTAACAAAGACAGTACAGTTTGGAGTACATGCACCAGCCATCACACTTGCTTAAAAAAATTTTTTTTCTTTTTTGAGACAGGGTCTCAAGCTGTTGCCCTGGGTAGAGAGTACCGTGGCATCACAGCTCACAGCAACCTCCAACTCTTGGGCTTAAGTGATTCTCTTGCCTCAGCCTCCCAAGTAGCTGGGACTACAGGCACCCACAACAATGCTCGACTATTTTCTGGTTGTAGTTGTCATTGTTGTTTAGCAGGCCCAGGCTAGATTAGAATTCACCATCTCCAGTGTATGCGGCTGGCACCCTAGCCGCTTGAGCTACAGGTGCCGAGCCACACTTGCTTAATTTTTGTATTTTTTTATAGAGATGGGGTCTTGTACAATTCGTGTAATTTATGGCCACTCTGTACCACTAAGGCTGGTCTCAAATTCCTAGTCTCAAGTGATCCTCCCACCTTAGCCTCTGAAAGTGCTAGGAATGCAGGCATGAAAACTCACACCTGGCCTCATTATAGCTTTTCTACAAAGGGTGAAGTAGGCCAGGCATGGTGGTTCATGACTATAATCCTAGCACTCTGGAAGGCCAAAGGAGGACTGCCTAAGTTTAAGACCAGTCTGAGCAAGAACTAGACCCCAGCTCTACCAAAAATAAAAAAAACTAGCTGAGCACAGTAGTGCACACTGATAGTCCTAGCTACTCAGGAAGCCGAGGCAAGAGGATTGCTCAAGCCCAAGAGTTGGAGGTTGCTGTGAGATATGATGCCATGGCACTTTACCCAGAGTGAGACTCTGTCTC